TATTTCCACATGGAGAAAATGCCCCACACATCAGTTATGAGGGGAAAAAGCAGCAAGTAGGTACCAAGAGCCAGGGAGAGTCACGGGCCCTGGCACAGGTTGCCCAGAGAAGCTGTGGCTGCCCCATCCCTGCAAGTGTCCAAGGCCAGGCTGGATGGGGCTTGGATAGTGGAAGATGTCCCTGTCCATGGCAGGGGGTGCGACTGGATGGGCTTTAAGGTCCCTTCCAACCCAAACCATTCCATGACTGGGTAGAAAAATAGGTCAAATGTTTCAGTATCACATTGCAGAGGAGTTTGTGCCAATAGTTCTGTGGAGGCTCATAAAAAAGTGACAGGAAGTGGCTTCCCTCTGACCTCCCCTGGATGAGATTCCCTTGCATCCAGCTGGAGCTCTGTGCCTGGAACAGCAGCTGGACATTTAATTGCTGACATCACCCCTCACACCTCATCCCCTTCCCTGTCACACCTCAGGATTTACAAATCACTGAGCAGCTCTCACCTCACCTTAACTGTTCCCATCCCTCTCGACCTCCCACAGCTACAACAGCTCACAAGGAGTTACGAGCTCCTTCCTCACTGTTTTAAATCCTCCTCAAATCCTCTTCTGCCCTGGGAGAATCACGGAAACCTGGGCTGTCCTTGATGCTCTTGGTGAGCTGGGGAAACCCCAGCGGGGTTCAGCTCTTTGAACCCCACCTTGAACCTGCCCCAACCCCACAGCTCCGACCTCCCTCTGTGCCAAGGGCCATCCCAACACCTCGGGAGTGCTGAGAAACCCTCACAAACAACAGATTTAGAACCTCAAACTTCCCGTCCCCTTCTCCACACAGACCTCCGGGATCTCAGCACGTACCGACAGCACACGAGAGCTTTGAAACATCCACAAATCACGAAAATAACAGGGATAATCTGCCAGCTGGAAGCTGCAGCCCATTGTTTTCCCATCAGAGCTGCCTGGAACAACCCACTTGAGAAACACTTCAGGAACATGTGTTCAAGGACTCACTGCAGAGCTGGAGTGGTGATGGGCCACGTCCTCGGGGTGACAGTGACAACTCTGCTCCAGTGGGAAGAGTGTCTTGTAACTCCCTGCAGCAGCTTGATTATCCCACAATCCAGGTTTCTGTCTAAACTTAAGCCAAGAGGAGTTGAGAGGCCACAGAGCTGCCCAGGACTCTAACAGGACACAGCTCGTGGCCCCTGTTCAGCAGGTTTTAAATAGGGGCTGTGGGGAGGAGCCAGCCCGGGTGCCCTGGGATTGGCACATCCCAGGAACTCACCACACCTGGGATGGGCGTGGTGCAGCCCTGGCTAATCCATCCCCCTGGGATTCCCCCAAGGACTCATCCAGGAGTCCCTCTGGTGGAAAATGGCTTGAAACAATCTGGGCTGAGAGTTGAGGGTGTCCCTTCTGTCCCCAAGAGCCCTGAGGTGACACTGCAGGTGCCACAGCCCCACATTGTTTCCACAGGAGGATGGGCACGAGCCCAGCCCATGGATGCTGCCAGCCCTGTGTATCTCGAGGCAGGAAAAATACCTGGAAAGATGACATTTCCCTCTGACAGGGAAAACTTTGAGGGTCCCAAAATATTATTAACCGGCCCAACTTTGCCTTAAAGGAGCAGCTGTTGGGAAATGATCCCTGGGCTCAGCAATGCCTGGCTTGGATGAGGGACGAGAGGGAAATCCTCGGGGAGTCCGGAGGGGAGCGTGCGAGTGGTTGAACCACCGAGCTCTGAACCACAGACACAGGAAGTGCTGCTGTGATTTTTAGCTCTGCTTCACTCTCCTACCCACTGAAATCAAATTTCCTCCTGCCCAAGCCCCGTGACCACATGTCCTGCCCAGCAGCCTCCCTGGGACCACCGGCACTGTGGGATTAAGGAGCGCTGTGCAAGCAGTGAACGGGGATGATTCATTATTGGCAGCAACGTGGCTGGAAATGGGTATTTCTGGAGGGAAAATAAAGAAATAAAGTCCCCGAGTGAAAGGCCGGTGATGAAGTGTAGCCCGGCTCTAATCCCAGTGTAATCACTGCCATCACTCCTAATTATTGATAAACATTTTTCTAATTGTGGAAATTAAACAATTAGACATCCTTCCTTCCCTCTTGGAAATCTAATCAGCCCAAAGTTCAGGATGCAGCCTGGAGCTGCCGCTGCAAAACACGCTGCACTCACAGGCTGGGAAAAACAGGGCTTCTCCCAAAACCCTTCTCCCAAAACCTTCTCCCAAAACCCTTCTCCTAAAATGCCCCCCAAAGTTCCCCCAGCCCTGGCCCTGTCATTGGGAGGACAGATCCGTGGCCAAGGTGTCAGATATCCGGGAGGCTTCCCAGGAGCATTGCTCTATCCCTGAATTCCCAGGGATTTCAGGGCCAGGCAGGCAAAGAGCCGTCCCCGCCAGGAGGATTCAGGTCGTAGCTCTTGCCCCAGTGACACATTTCCCTCCATCCTGGAGAGGAGAGCAGGGAACAGGCGGGCAGAGCTCCTTGGAAGTTAATAACGGAGATTTACCGGCGCAGGAACGCCGAGGAAGGAGGTCACGCTGCTAATGCTCCTGCTGCTGATCCCTGCGGATAAACCCGCATCAGGAAACGAATTACCCAGAGAGGGGGATTAAGGGGGATGATTCTAATTCCTCGCTGAAGGAGAGGTGTCTTTAACGCTGAGCCCCTCACAGCCACCGATGCCGAGCACTGGCTCCCGTTCCCGGCAGGATCTGACCCACAGGACCTTTCTGTTGGAAAGAGGGGATGAGAAAAATCCCTCCTTGGGATTTGAGCCTCCATCAGGCTGCAGCCCCCCCCCCCCCCCCACCCCAAGATCCCCCAACACCCGGGTTCAGCCACAGGCACCTGAAAATATCCCTCTAATCCCAGTTTTCAGTTCTTCCTCATTCCTCACCACACCTGATTAAATATCCAATCGTACTGACAGCCTAAATCCAACACAATTCCATCCATCCCAGATCAAGTTACTTTCCCAAAGCTTACTGCAGATTTTTATGAGGTTTCTTGCATATTTTATCCCCTGTACACCCACATGGACCAGCAGCTGTTCCACAGCCAGCCAGACTCCTGGAATGCATCTCCTTTCCCCCATGCTCGTTAGCGTGGGCTGTAACGAGCCCCATGGTTTCCATCCGAGTAATTCCACAGGCAGGATCTGGGAATTATCAGGCACCGGAGCAGGGCTGGCCCTGGAGCACTTGGTGTCATCCAGCCCCATGGGGGGACACCGGCAGCACTCCAGGAGGATGAGGTGGCAGCCGGGGCCACGTGTCCTGCGTGTCCCCCAACCCTTCCCAGCTGCTCCGAGAGCCGCGGGAGGAGGGTCCCCAGGGAGGGACCGGAGCAGGGGACAGGATCCATCTGCTCCAGAGCCCGGGGTCTGCGTCTAGAGACAGCGAGTGACAAACAGGGTTAATGTCCCGTGAGCGGGAGCTGTCACTCTGTGTTAGGGCCTGGCTTCCGCCTTCCACAGCGCAACATTCCAGCGTGGATCACACGGGGAGAGGCACCGGCAAACCGGGATGAGACCGGGACCAGAGAGGCCACTCTGGTGGGACTGTGGTGTCAGGAAGGGCCTTTCCCTCCTGGCTGTCATGCTCCTGCCCCTGGGCTCTGCTCCAGTGGGATGGGAGGGCAGGGAGCGGAGCAGGGCCATGAGAAACAACCCCATGGGGTCCTGGGTGACGCAGGGACCGACTGGCGCCGTGCCAGCGACCTGAGCCGAGCACGGGGCGTTCATTATTGAAGGCTGGGGCAGAGTTACCACGGGCACCAGGTGTCCTGTTTCTACCAGCACCAGCCCGGGAGGACATTGGCTGTCACGGGCACCTCCGTCCTCCCTGTGCAGCTTCACCAGGGCCCGGTGACCCACAGACACAAACACACAGCAGCACGCGCTGGCACCCGCTCCAAAGGAACAGACAATTTATTGTCGTAAAAAGTGAGAACGTAAAAGGTCCCTTAAACCAAACATGGATGGGTCAGGCGGTCCTGGTGGCCCCCACACCGCCCGGGGAGAGCAGCCCAGGGAGGTCCCCCCAGCCGCTCTTGTCTGCAGCCGGTTGTAGAGGGGGACAGAGCTGCCGTGGGGCTGCGGGGACGCCTGGATGGGAGCTGGGGCCGAGGCGTTTGTGTGTTGCAGAGCTCCTGGTCTGCGCTGGAATTAGGCACTTGTGGAAGGGTGCGGGCGCTGCTCCCGGCCGGCTCCATCCCACGGCTCCCCATGGCACTGGGAGGACGGGCAGGGGCCGGGGCCGGAGCCCTGCCTGTGCCAAAACGCGCTGCCCGCACCAGGGGCTGAGGCTGGGCCAGGTCTGACCCGGTACAGAGGAGGTTCAAGCAGCTTTGGTTGGTGCTCTTGGTGAATTAAGGCAATTTATCTTCAGTTGGTTTAAAATAAGGCCAAAACCAGCAAAAACCAGCTCTCCCAGGGGCCAGACACATGGGTGGAAAAGTCTGGGTCTGCTCTGGCTTTGCTCTGAGTCGCCACTTGGACCCTGCACACCTAAAGGTGGGCACTGACCCCCTCCTGTGCCAGCCCCGTGCCCAGCCTTGCCTCCACCACTGCCACAGGGAACCTGCAACCCAATACTGGGAGTGCCCAGAAGGGACTCTGGAGCATTTTTAGGGGAGATTCAGGCTCCTGACAGTGGTGCGGGAGTGGGGAGAGGGCGGAGGAGCCGCAGCAGCTCCTTCCATCCCACTTCCCATCACAGTGACTGGTCGGCAGCTTGTGAGGTGGGAGCTCCCCTCCGGCAGCCAAGGGGAGCAGGGGGTGAGGGTGCTGCAAACACCCACCCACGTGGTCCCTGGGGAGCACCGAGGGGAAACTCGCTCCCCCCAACATCCCAGCAGGGCTGTACCTACTGCCTGGACCCCTCAGTTCCCCTCCATCAGCACCCACACCCCTTGGTGGCCCCAGAGGGCTCTGCCCTAGGGAGCTCATTCCCCATTTGGTTCTTATTCCCCATTTGGTTCTTATTCCCCATTTAGTTCTTATTCCCCACACTCCAAGGGGGAAGGCTCTGGGTTCGCCCACCAGTGACCCCTTCTCTGGGTGGGGACCCCCACACCCCTCGCCCCACCTGGCCTGGGGGTGCTGGGAAGGGAGCAGGGAGCAGCAGAGGCCGAAATGGGAGATGGGGTGGCACAACCCACACAAGAGCTGGAGCTGGAGCTGCCTCTGGCCTCTCCCAGCCGGGGTGTCCCCAGTTCCTGTCCCATCCTTTGGTCCCACTGGCTGCAGTCACAGCCCGTGACCCCCTGGGGTCGGTGACCCAGCAGGGCACTGCCCTCACAGCCCTCCTGCTCCTTCCCACTGCCCTCCCAGCAGGGAGCCAGGCCCAGGCCAGCCCGTGAGGGATGGAAACACTGATTCCGTTAATGCCCCAAGGGATCTCTGCGAAGGAAATATAAAAGTTTTACATGAGGTCCGAATGTCCAGCTCGGTCGGAGCAACGGCCACATGCCAGAAAGATGCTCCAGGTCCTCCATAACACGGGAGGACACTGTGGATGCTCCGTGCTCACGGCTGATATCCATCCCTGGCCACAGCCACCAGAGCCAGGGACTCACTGGCCACGGCTCCCGCTGCCAGGAGGAGAACGGGGCAAATCCATGAGTATTTCTGTGCGACACCAGTGGCTGTGACAGCTCCTGCAGCCGCGAGGAGCCCCTGGAGCGGCTGTTCCCCAGCCCTGTGCGTCCCCGTGTCCCGCAGGATGCCGGTGCTCACACCACAGTGCTGATGGTGGACGACTCCTCCGAGCGCCGCTGTTTGCTGGGCAGCGACTTGAGGTACTCCAGGTGCCTCCGGGCGTCCTCCTGGTTCTGCCGCACGTAGTACACCAGGTAGGAGATCACCATGGCGAACCAGCCGAACATGGTGACCAGCATGGCGATGTCCGTGGTCTTCTTGTACACGTTGCAGAAGTCCGTGTCGGCGATGACCTGCAGGAAGGCTTTGCCCACGTGCTCCTCCTGCGCCGCGGAGTCGCAGACGATGCCGCCCGAGGAGCCGGCCACCAGCTCCACGGTGCGGATCAGCTCCTGCAGCCGGCAGTCGCACAGCCACGGGTTGTTGGACAGGTTCACCTTGGCCTTCAGGTTGCTGAAGGCGTCTTTGCTGACCGACACCAGCCTGTTGGAAGACAAGTCCAGGGAGTGCAGGTGCTCTGCCAGGCCCCGGAAAGCCCCGCTCTCCACGCCGGCGATGGCGTTGTGGGACAGGTCCAGCTCCAGCAGGAGCGGCAGGTCCCGGAAGGCGTCGCGGGGCAGGAAGGGGATTCGGTTGGAGTCCAGGTAGAGCTTGTTGGTGTCGTTGGGGATGTCTCTGGGGATCTCGGTCAGCCGAGCGTTGCTGCAGCGGAAGGTCTTCAGCCCCTCCTCCTCCGAGGGGTAGCAGCCCTTGGGAAAGGCGGTGGCCGGGCGGAGGCAGCAGCCCAGGAGGAGGAGGAGGAGGAGGAGGAGGCTGTGCAGGAGCAGCCCCATGGTGACCGGGCGGAGGAGGACCCGCTCTGCCACAGGCATCGTGCCGTGCTGCCTTTGCCTTCCTCACACCCCCGGGGGCTTCAGCTGGACTCGGCACATCTGAGAGGGGACAGCAAGGGGACAGCGTCAGGCCAGGGGGGTCAGGGGCAGAACCGTCACTGTGCTGGTTGTGGATTCTGCACCTGACCCTGGCCAAGGGACAGGGACGGGGATGGGGACTGGGACAGCCGTCACGGCTCACGCATCCCCCCATCCCCGGCCAGCACCTCGCTCGGGGCTCCTGCGAGGCAGGATCAGGTCCCAGGGCCTGAGCACGTCTCCTGCGCCGGCAGCTGGGCTGTAACAACCGGAGACGCTCTGGCTGAGCCAGAGGCGGGGGTGAGATCCCGCCCTGCCAAGGTCACGGCGCTGCGATCGCTGCTCGCAGGAGGCCGATCCATCCTGCGGCGGCCGGAGGACGCACCAGCGCAAGCCCTGGCTCCGGGCGAGCGGCCGCTGCCGGCAGCCCCCGGGGAATGACATGGAAAACATGTGCGGGCAGCGGCTCAGCAGGTTCCCGCTCCCGGCTCCGCTCCCCGGCAGTGCCCGGGGCACGGGCGGACGCGCGCCGGGTTCTCTCCTTTCGAGGGGACTGGCACGGGTGGGTGCTGGGTGCCCCTGTCCCCTGCCCGCTGCCGCCCCGGCCGTGGGGTCGGGCAGCCCACGCCACCCCGTAACCGTGGGCCCCACACAGCCCTTGATTCCGGAGGGGAAAAACGTCAGCAGGGAAGAAACAAAAACAGAAAAAGGAAATTCACTGGAGCTGAGCGTGCAGTGAGTTCCCAGGGTAGTGGCAGCAGATAAGGGCCGTGTCCGAGGGCTCCGAGCGCTGCCCGGCTCTCCCAGCCCTGGCTCCCACCACGTCCAGGGGCTCCAGCCCGTCCCTGTGGCGGCCGCAGCGGCGGAGCCCCGGAGGAAGGATCCAGGTGCTCTCCCACCATCCCACAATCAAAGACACCGCCTGTGGCACCCGGTCAGGCAGTTCAGTGCTGCTGCTCACCAGGCACCTCCTGGGCAAAGCTGCTGCAGGTCCCACCTGCCCCCACTCCCTGGAGCACCCCAACACCGGCAAACCCTTCTCGGGGTGTTGATTGGGGCTCCTCGGTGCGGGGTAGAGGTGCCCACCCGAGGGTGGCCCCCAAAGCACAGCACCCCGAGCTCTGGGCACTGTCACCCAGCCCGGCCGCGCCGAAACACCCCAAGGTCACACCTGTGCAGAGGCGACCCCTGCGCTGCCAGAGCCCCGGGACCCGCGGGGGTCCTGAGCGGGCACCAGCGCTCAGAGCACCCCAGGGGCACCGGGACCCCACAGCCCCACACTGCACCAGCCCCCCAGCTCTGCCAGAGGTAACCCGGGACAAACGCAGCCCCCTGAGACCCTCCTCCCGCTGCCCGGGAACCGCCGGACTGAGCCGGGACCTGATGCCCCGGGATGGAGCTGCTTCATCCACGGGACGGGAACACCCCGCGGGCGGGATGCGGACCAGGCACCGCAGCGAGGACGAGCACCGCCAGCCCCTGCCCCACCGCGGGGTCCCCAGCCCGCAGCAGGGTGCGGGAGTCCCCAGCCCGACCCCGGTGATCGCCGCCAGCCCCGGGGAGGGCGGTTGAGGTACCGGGGGCGGTGCGGGCGCCGGGACCCGCCGTGCGCCCGGGGATGCCCGGGGATCCCCCCGGCCCGGGGGCGTAGCGGGCGAGGGAAGCCCCGGTGCTTCCCCGGGGGAAGCTCCGCTCGGCGCGGCGCTGCCGCCCCCTCCCCGCCGCCTCCCGCCCCGCCGGGGGTCCCGGTGAGGACTCACCTGCCCGTGC